TTCGTAAACACATCTCAATTGCCATTTCACTTTTCCAACCATTCGAACTGTGTGTAAAACATTCTCGATTTTAAACAGAACTACATAATTCAAATATGTATCTCAGACTATCCGAAATATCTGCAATTGTATGTATTGTATTTCAAATTATTCCTCCAAAATATTTCTCGGTAGAAATGAAATACAAATATTTGGATATTATTTGGTCCGCGCTGAAACACCAACGCTATTCGTAAATTTGCCAACCGCCCTTTCTCAGAGTCGAAGTTCCTCCTTTAAATACATCGTCGAACTCAATCTCCGATGACACCATTAACACGAACAGCTTCGTTAATTGGCTGCTGATTACATCATGCAACAGGCACAAACCACCGCATACACGCTTTCAATCACGGTTAATTGTATCGAAACGCCTGCTCCGTGTTGCTGTGATTTTCAGAAGTTTGTCGTGCCACACACTTTGATTATATCGTGTTGCGTCTTCCTCTTGCACAAAGCATCGATCGCGAATGATAATACGGGCGCGTTAATTTCTGCGAATAATGGTAAAATACAGATATTGGAAGCGCCGCGTTACAAAAATGTTTCGCAATAATTGAAATACGATGGTTCGTGAAAGTATATCGAGTCGCCTACCTGTAAGAAACAGTCAATTCGTTTTGAAATTTCATTTGTAGGAGAATGAGATTCGACTGTTGTGATTACGTTTTGGTGAAATTTGAGACAAATCGTGAAATGTGTACGGAAGTTGCAAGATATTAATTGCAAAATATGGAGTAATTAATTTAGTAAAAAATTAGTATACAGCATGAGTAACCATTTTAAGAGCACATAATAGAGCTTATTACTTATGTTTATTAATATTACTTTATTTAAATATATATATCGATAAATATAATTTGACTAATTCTATATGGATGCATCAAATATCTCGTAGTTTCTATGTACAGTTTGAAATTTGTTCCAAACTTTATACAAGTAGCTTGTTCTTCTCGAAATAAAATCCTTGATCAAAAGCTTTCCCTCTATAAACTATCTACAGTTATTAGTCAATTCGATCGAAAAAATTCTCAAAGTCTAAAGAAACCTGCTCTCTGTGAATCGTGTTTAACATTCTTGCGCGTGTATCGATCGTTAAAATATCGATCGTGCGTGTACAAATGGCCAGATGACGATACGTGTGTCGTAAAATCAATGAAATCGACGTTCCTTTCTTTTCGTGTGTCTGTCAGCGTCGCGTGATTGCTTGGTCGCGCGATCGGTAAGTCACGAGCATCGTGTCGAACACAGAGAAGAGAATCGAATGTTTTACACAGTTCACAACTGGGAAGCAGAATTCGTGCGTTTACGATCTTAAGTTTTTTTACTGTACGTTGCAATCTCCAGCTTCGTAGCATAATTTCGAAATATTATTATTTTGTATTATTAGATTTTGTACATTAACGATCGACAAAGGCTGTGTAATACTAGAAGAAGTAAATTTTCAGTATAAGATAATTGTTCTTTCTTGATTTAATTACTAAGAAGAATCGTCGATATTCATTGATGTAGATCCAATGTAGGTGATGACGTACTACGCATTCGATTTCACGATCATGAATGGTACCAGTCATTGTATACACGCAGAATGATCAATAAATTTATTCGCTAAATACGCGCCAGGAATAAAGATGCAACGACAGCGAGACACATACAGGTGTAACGGAAAAGCCAACGACTAAAGTGAGAGACTCAAAAGCTACAAAGAACTGTGTCGCATTAGCGAAGGAAGCATCTCCGAGCGAATCAAGTATCCTTTCCTACTTTTACTACAAATAATATTCTCAGTAGTTACGTATTTTCGCTATTTGTTTATTTTATTCTGACGCTTTCCGATTATTTATCGATCCCGAAAAAATATTATCTGCAAGTATAAAAACAGAAATATTTAAGGTAGATTGAAAATTCGTAGCTACGTAAATTCACAAACGTATTTTCACGCTCCACTGTACGATATTCGAAGGGAAATTCACTTCGCTGAAGCCTACGTTTCTTTGTCATTTTTCTTCGTATAATATTTCGCTCTTTCAATTTCCTGTACGTAACCAACGTTCATGGTTCGCCAGTTCATTTACTCGAAGAACATATGCACGTTACAAAATGATGGGTAAAATATTCGATAAAAATAAAAAAAAAAAAAGAAGAACGGAAGAGAGAAAAGCGAATATAGAAATAAAGAAGAAAGAAAAAAGATACTAACGTGAGCGGGGCAACCACTTGTGGATTTCGACCTAGATTCGCGTATGATCGTTTCAAGGTGTTAGGAATGGATGCTCGAGACTGGCCTATTTGCATGACCAGCCACGAACTTCACCAACGAAGCCAGCAAAAGGTGGTTCGCCTATGGCCTCGAGAAGGTCGCCGTGATTTCTCTGCGTCGTCGCTGGTACCTTCGAGGTTTCACCCTCTATCTACATCCAATCCTTTACAATCTCTCTGCCTTCCTCGCGATCCTTTCTTCTTCACTCTCCACGTACGATTTACATACGTACGAGAAAATCTTTTCGCTTCAGATTGCGATAGAACAAATCTTATATCCCGTGTGAAAATTTATTTTCTACTAAAAATTCATTTTTCTAGAAAAATTTACAATTAAATGGAAAGCTCGAACAAGGTCCTAAAGCACACTTGACGCATCTTAGGAAAAACGGTCTCTAATTTCGCTACTTTGATCTTTGAATTCTTTACATTTCCATCTCACTTTCGTTTCAAACGAAAAGACACGTTTAAGTATGTTTGAAAATGTTTTTGAAAATCGTGGAGAAATCACGCATATCGGTAACGACCATTCTTTCTTACGTTTAGTTGCATTTAGTTGTTTTAAATTCTTCGCAGAAAATAATGAACAATTGTGGTTTTATATCACGTAACGTTTATTAATCGTTGGTATACGAAACGGGGCCTTCTCGTGTTTCGTCGTCGCAAAATTGGCAAGCGTCGCGATGCTCTGACGCCATATAATCGTTCGTCTAACGATCGGTTACTTTGCACGTGTGGCGTCTCAGTGACAGTGTTGTCTCGCGGATTGCGTAGGTCTCATCGGCTGATCGTTCGCTTTTTATCTCCATTTTTTTAGAATTTATTGTAATAAGATTAAGAAATTTTAATTTACTGTATCCAAATCTTCACATCGGATGTTTCATAATTGACGGTAGAGCCATAACAGTAATCACGTTCGCTCGTCTCCTTCTCTCCGACCTGCTGATATTTTTAATTTAATAATGTCTGATTGATACCAATCTGTCTTTATCTGCTTCCAATTATGAATCGAATTAGAAATTGGTAGATGGCGATTTTTTCGTGAAATACTGGTCCTCTGTATTACTTTTTTCTTTTTTTCCTTTTTTTTTTTTTTTAGTAATAAATCCGTGTTATAAAAGCAATCCCGTTATTATTGGACCGATATTGGGTCAAAGCTTGTCCGATAAAAAAAAGGTAGAAAAATTCTGACGCTTATTGCTACATATTTCGTTATCTTTATCGTATTTTGGTATGTTTATCCTTCTCAATCGTCGAATCATTTTTATTCTTACGGAGTCTATTGCATTCTTTCTACGACGAAACAAACGAAACATTAAATGTCACTGAATAATTTATTCAAGTTATGAACTGCGAAAAATTCGAACGAAAGAGAAAGGGAGCATAAGTGAGGATGTAAATGAGCGTCTAATTTTAAAATCTGACCTATTAGTACGCTGAACGATATTTGCTTTCGATCGACCGACGTTACTTTTCACGAACAAACACGCTGCTCGGCATAAATATGCTGGAAACGTAATTGCCCGGCGGTGGTTATTAATGCGGTCAGTCGAGAACGTTTTCCAGTTTAGTTAACGCCACGATCTTATAAGAGAACAAATATTTTCAATATTATCTCACCCACAGAAAATGAAATGTTAACGATGCCTTGTACGCGTGAATTTACTTTAAAATGTGATGGAAGCTGGTCTTCCAAATACAACAGTAATTAAAGCGATATATCGTTTTAGTTCCCTTGTTTACGAATAATTAACATTTTTCTTCCCGATTAAAATCGTACCTTCAATTTCCATATTCTATATAATGAAATTATGTATGTTGAAATGAATAAAGTTAAATAGAATTTAAATTAAACGAGAATAGGAAATATTTTGTAGCAAAAAAAAAAAAGAAAGAACAATAATTGATCTGCGATTAAATTAAATATTCGGTCTTAAATAAAGAATCTTCCAAAGAATTTCTTTAAAAAGTTTCAAGTCGAGTTATCATTAACGAGGGTCAGTAGCATTAAAAATTTACGGGTAGACTTATTTGAGATGTAGACGGTACATGATTCACCTGCTTCTGAAACGCTTGATGAAGATCAATGACCAGTGACGTCAGTATTACTGACCACGTGCACTGGATCATGTATGCAAATACCGTACGCATATCGTGAAGCCAGGATTATTCGTACGCGATTTGCATGCATGGTTCGACTAGAGAAAGTAAGAAGACCAGACAGGTTCAAGGATTAAACCGAAACTTGTACGTTGAACTTTGACGCGATTGAAATACGAATACTTCTTCTAATCTCAATAGTTTTACGTTTTGCAGATCGTACATCTTTCGTGTATCTGAATCTCGCATAAGCTTGTATTTAATCACTAGTTCTAAAGATGAAATTAATTTCTCGTATCCATCGATCAAAATTAATTTCATCTTTATTATTATCTGTAATTGAATATGTTGATTTTTATGTATCCTATATATGTACAATATATGTATGTACATAGAACTCTCTAAATGATCTGAAAAATAATTTTCTATGTCCACCATAAAATTATATGTTATATATTATAAAATTCCATGTTCCATAAAATTATTTTCCATATCCATCGATTAAAATTATTTTTCAGGTCGTTTAAAGAATTTGATGTACATACACGTATAGTACATATATAGCATATATAGAAAACAACATATTCAATTTGCATTGCACGTGTAAAATTAAGTTGGAATAGAAATTCCTCTACGAAAGAAGAAAACGCGCTTTGTCTGTTCTTATTTCACAGGATAGTAATGATATGATAAAACGTTGCAAATAAAATCAGATATTGAAAGTAAATATATTTTGACAAAAAATAAATAAACTGATAATTTACATTTTCTACGCTCTGCTTGAAAGATTGAACATGTTGCCGTCTTCCTGACGTCGTTTTTCTCAGGGCATAATCATTTCACCAGCACGGCTTCGCGTCGATTCTTCTTCTTCTTCTTCTGTCTCTCTCTCTCTCTCTCTCTCTCTCTCTCTCTCTCTCTCTCTCTCTCTCTCTCTCTCTCTCTCTCTCTCTCGTTTCTATTGTGTTGCTCGATTCTTACGTCAGAGAAGCAAGAGAATGTGTAGGAGCAACGCTAAGGTGCGGTAGATTATTTCCGTGGCCACGGTCCGGTTAACCCTTTGAACAGGGCGAAATTAATTCGCCGGGAACGAGAAAAAATTTTCATCGCTGAAAATATTGCCATCTTTTTACTATCTATTCGTGCTACACCTCTTATAAAAAAAATACTTATAAATCTCAGAAAAAAAAATCGCATTACTTATCAAAGATGCATTCTTCCGTTTTCTTCTGAAATCATAGAAAAGCGAAAATCGAGAAATAAAAAATACTTCAATGCAAACACACTGCAGAAAACATTACGCACCCACAAATTCTCTAACCATTCATAACGAATTCATCAAACCTTACAACACCTCTAATCCTAACCTAACCTAACCTAACCTAACCTAACCTAACCTAACCTAACCTAACCTAACCTAACCTAACCTAACCTAACATAACCTAACCTAACCTAGCCTAACCTAACCAAACCTAACCTAATTTAACTTAACTTAAGCTAAGCTAAGCTAAGCTAACCTAACCTAATCTCGTTAACAACGTTACACTATTTATCGATTCCTCCAGCATCCTCTCCATCTCCTTTTACGACGAAGCTCAACGGAGAGGATCATGGCTCTCACGGAGAGAAGTTAATCATTGTTTCATGTAACGAGCGATCGTTAGAGCGGACTACGGGGAAACTTGAGGTTATTATTCCGATATCGGAAAAGTTGATTGCGTGTGCGTGCATTGTCGGCGACTGCGGCTGCCTCAGAGTTTCACTGACGAGAGTTTCGCGGTTCGCGGATCGAGGAAACGACGAGATGGCATTCCTCCTCGCCGTTGTAATATGTCGGCTTACCGCGTTACACTGAATCACACTCGGCCACCGCTTTCACGAGAGACGTCGTATAGAAAGGGTACCAGGGAAACGCGACGCGCTTCTGGAATGCGTGTCGGTCGTTGCTTAAAGGGGTCGGTTCCGAGTGTAACGCGGCGAGAAAATTCTTCTTCAAGTTGTATCGATGCGACGACCAGACGTGTACTGGATCTTTAATCGACCGTCTGTCTTGGAAAAGTTTTAGTTTCAGTGTGAGAAATTCTGCAATTTATCACTATTAGGCCATGTCTTTCGCTTTTCATTACAAGCTTCGTTGCTGGAAGAATACTTGTTCTGTACTTGCTCTTCTTATTCGTTTTCTCTTATTTAATACCATGCGATTCGATCAATTCGTTCTCGCAATTCTGAATTTTTAACTCGCGTATTTCTTTGTTGTTTGGGACTGTTCGATCGTTGCTCGAATTCTTCTGTCTCGTTCGAGCAAGTCAATTCAATTAGGAAATTGTTTCCCGTGCTATTTTAATGGCAAATTGTATTGTATACTTTGATCTTTAGTCGAGACCAGTTAGAAGAGGATTTTAATGTGAGAAATTCTGTGATTCCGTTAGCTCGTGTCTTCTCTCGTTGTTTAATTACTGGTTTCCTAATTCACGTGTAAAACGTTTTTCTTTGACTTTAACGACGGTCTAGCTACTTGCGTTTGTTGAATTCTGTATCATTTTAATACACTTGTTTATTCCATTATCGAGTTTTTCTGAATATTTGTGTTACACGTGAGCAATTCCCGCAAGTAATCTTTTTAATTTATCAAATCATCCCTTTTGTTTTCTCCTCCTCTTTTTTCTATTCTATTGTTCCACTAATCCTTCTATTCAATAGCCAATTTTTTAAAATACTTGTATTGTCACGAAGTGATCTAATATTTTTTATCCTGAGCTTGTGTATAATCGATAACATCTGTCACAATATTATCTTATTACATAGTATATATAATTAACTTTTTATTGTAAAAATCAAATCTAAAATCTATCATTTATCTACTGCTTACTTAATCATAAACGAATAATCGCATATCGCTTCGAACAGATGATAAAAATTCTTTCCTGGAATTAATTTTGCGTCAGAAATGTCAATTTAGTTTCGAGTATTATATTTTCCTCGTCAACTACATATATAGCAAAAATTGCTCTTTAAAACTTTCGATATTTCTCAACTCAAGTTCTACGAAACAACATTTGCCCAAGCGTGTAATTCCTCCTTTTAGGACTTTTAGTTTTTCAAATGTCCTTCACCTTCATTTTTAAAGCTCTTTCTGGGTGCTTCTTTCTTTCCTCTTCTGTTTATTGCAATTTCTCTGTAACGGGAAGAACTTGCTCTTCGCATCACCGAGAATATACTTATTTATACGTTTCTTGCTCATACACACGAAATGGATTTAGCAATTTTCTCCAATAAGACTCTTATAGCTGGTATGCCATTATATTTCGTGGAAGTCGTAAAATACGCGATGGAATGTTGGTGGAGTTGCGTGAAAGTACTTTACTAAATTTATTACACGACATTTGGACACAAGAATCTCGAAATACTTTGTGAATATTTTCATCGTGAATATTATATCGATGAATAGGTGTTTTTATTGGATAATCGTGTCGATAGCGTCATAAATATAAATATAAAAGTATAAAGTACTGTTATATCGCCCAAAAGATGCGTGCAACTTAAGATTCGCGACCTACGTTACAGATTGAAGCTTTTTTTAAAAACGAAAGGTGTTCTAATACTTTTCAATCGGAATATATATATAAATTCGAAAGAAGAGAGTAATATCTTTAGTCAATTTTAAACTCCTAATGTGATTTAGCCAACAGTCCAGTTCACCGAACCAACAAAAATATTAGTTGCTGATATTTTTTCCAAGGGAAATCACTGTGACGTACGCAAAAAGCAAAGCGTTAAAACACTTCCACCCACGAAACCCATTAAACCCACGCTAGGAATCCAATCGTATTGACACGCATTCTCGAAACGCAACGTCTCTCTTCCATATGCTTTCTCCTAATTATTACGCAAATGAAATGCTAAATGCTTCCTCGTAATCTAGGGGAGGAATCTCTAATTAACTTAAATTTAATTAATCGAATTAAAAGAAAGTTTCAAATTGCTAGATAATTTGTTTCTGTACACGGAGATCTTAGTAACTTTTCTGTTATGTATTTTCCATTATATCGTTATTAGTCGCTTGTTCTGCAGTAGGTACATATTTTATATTTATTCGCTGCTTCTGTTTTGTAAAATCATATTTAAACTACTAGCATTTAATGAAGATCAGCTTCTTTCGATTCTTTTAGACAATAAAAGTTCCATTTTACGCAAAAATTGGAAACAACTTCTGCTATCGATATATTTAAACTTTGCATTGCCCACTATTGTATATCACACGATAAATGATTGTTACTGACACCATGAAAAGTATTTATATGGACTGCGGATTTTCACGCAATTACGAGAAATTTTGAGATACGGAAATGCATAGAGCGCGCGTGATATCCGAAAAGCGTAGTACTCTTCGACGCATGGTGCTCGCTCCTTGTAACATTTAATAGATTAGTCGAATTTTTGCCAAGCTCCTGCTCTCTCAACGCTAGGAACTATCGAAATAATCAAAACGATCAGCACCAATAATTCTTCGTAGAAATTTCATAGGTTCGCGACAGTACATTTTTCGAAATTCGAATGACTCTTCGAAAGATCTTGCTCGTCTTACAAAATTTTGTATATAAAACATATTCCTGTCCCCTGCTCTTTAATTTCTTCTATACGAGTTTTATACGTTAACCGTTGACGGTTCTACCATCTGTCTATAAAAATACAAATTTCCATAAGTAGCCTTGGTGTACTCATACGCAGGTTCCAATCTTGAACGTTCTCTTTTCTTCGCGCGGCTGTGTATTTCTGGCAACCGACAACGAAAAACTCGTCGCTCGACTCAACGAAGAATGAATCAACCACGGAATGAATTGCTCGCTACGCAGAAGAAAATAGAACGTCGATAGGAGAAGGAAAGGAGATCGCGTGTTTCCTGCTTGTTTCGCTCGCATTCCGCATTTCCTCGCAGGGTTCTGTTCGGTTGGCCCGCGATTCCGTTTCCCGCGGCGAGGAATTACGTATCCCGGATGCGCGCGATCGCGAAATCGAAACTTGGTCGGAGCGCGCGTTGCGCTGCGCTCGCAAGAGCCTCGCGCTGACTGATGCCGGGTGCAACGACCCCGCTACCGTGAAACTGGGACATCCTCGGCTGTTCCACGACGTCGTCTTCGCCATCGTACTACAACGACGACCCCGTTTTCCAGTTACGCCGGTCGAGCACCGTAGTCGTCGACCACGCGGCCAACCAACGCGTTTCGATTTTCGCGCTCCCTTTCACGATCCTCTTCCGCGATCTTGCTGTTCAAAGTCTCGTAGCCTTCCACTCGCCTGTTGCGTTTAGACAACGAGAGATTCGCAGGAAATTCGAGATTCGGATTTCCCGGTCGGATCGAGAACGAAGAACGTGATGGAAATTGTGAGAAAGGGGTTGTTACAACGACGCTCGTGTCCCTGTGTGTGAAACACAGACACACAGTGAAACAGAACGTTTCGAAGTAGCACACTTTTTGGACTGATAAACACAATTGCGTGTCGCGCACTAATAGGCACAAATACGATAATACTTTATAATGCAGTTACACGCGTACTACTTTTCTTGTTTATCTTCATCACGTTTCGTTTGAATATTTCGCTGGAAGATGGAAAATCGTAGTGTCGCAGTGTCAACCGCTCGTCTTAGGATTCCTTTTATGAGAAATATGAAAGTATTTGTTGCCTAGAAGATATGGAAATAATATTTGTTACTCTTGTGGCTACTTTCGATTTTCCGAATCTCGAAGGAGATTTGAAAACATTTTAATAATGAAAAAATTATAATAATGCTTCGCGGTATCGATAGCAGATTTTCACATATCGCTAATTGTCGATCGGGAAGCGAATTATTTTCAATTACTCGCGAGTATGATTTATGTAACATGTGGTGAAATTAGCGTCTATTTTACCAATATCTCGGATCTGTCGCATATCATTCTTCAATTACGATAATCGAGACGAAACTTGGATAACTCGATGAACTTTTGAAAAGCTTGAAAGTGAACTGGCATCGAGTCGGAGTTTGATCATTTTGTTGTAGAAACGAAGGGACGGGCCAAGGTATTGATTAAATTTGCCAATTATGGAAATCGGTATTGCGAATATTGAACTGACATTACGATGACGTAGATAACGTGCCTGTTATCCAAATGTCAGAATTCAGTCGTTGAAATGTACAATTAGTATAAATAGTTGAACGTGTTGATTCAGTGATTCAGCTCAATGGTGTAACTTACTTCCACGCAACTTTCCTTCAATTTTTCATGCATTTCTCCGGCACACTTTTCCCCTGAATCTGGTTCCACGCACCTTGCCCTGTTCGTCTTTCGAAGAAACTTTTCATCGAACTCGAGTATCCGAAGCAACCGTTGTACAAAATCATTGTAAATAACATTCCTCTTCGATGCCGATATGCCAACGTCAAAAGCAAAGTACGTGAAGCTTCGCGAACGAGATCTAAAGCGAAAGAAGTGAAATAAGACGAACATGGTCAGCCCTGACATTCTTACATCTACTTAATAGCTACAGAACCGAATGTTTTCTGGATTAAATCGAAAGAATATTGTTTCATCAATTATTAATCGCGGAACACAAATGTTCGCTATATAATTCGCTATAATTTAAGCTGGATCTGATCAAAGACAAATGATAAATTGATCGTTTGCTTGTTTAATATTGAATTATAATAATATTATAATATATTAATATTGAAATATAAGATACGGAAAGGTTAAAGTAATACATCGTATAATCATAACGAAACAATTAATATTTCTTTGATAACCGATAAAGCTACATAATTCAGCAGACGATATCGGTCGTACGTATCAACCCAATAATTTATGAAGATATAGAACGAGAAATAAACGAGATAAATTTAGTAGATAATATTGGTCGTAAACAACGACCTAATAACTCAAGAGAAAACAGATGAGAAATAAACGAAAAGAAAGGGGCGACGACTGGAATTAAGGTTCGAGATCGAACCGCGTGGTCACACGCGGTTTTTACCATTTTATCGAGCTGCTGTGGTCGCGGTTAATGCACTTTGCTCTTTCATATTACTTTGTTCATTTCGATGCTGACGCAATCAACTGCCGCTACGTAGGATTTCGCATATATACGCCGCATAACGATAGTTCGCAAGGTAATTAGTGTGAATCTGCTTCCTTCTCTTACGTTACCGTGATAACTTCGAATTTAATTAATGTAATTAAGATCGTCTCTGTCAGGGACCTCGTTGTTCTCATTTTCCCCTCCTCCTCCTCCTGCTCCTCCTCTATTTTTCTTCGCTTCCTTTTTTTCTTTTCTTTTTTTTTCTTTTTTTGTCTGTTCTTAGCGGTTCGTGAAATCGCTTTACAAACCAAATTTTCACGGATGGATTGTGAAAAGAGTTTCATGATTCCGTTTACACCGGTTTCTTTGTAATTCCTCGTAATTAATAATTACGCATTAGGATTAATTGTTCTGATATTTGTACGACGTGGATGTACTTGTCGAAGCGTACATTTGTTTGTTAAACGTAGATACCGCGAAATTGAATATTTTCATTTTTTGAAAGGGGCGATTGAGAAAATATGAAACTGAAATCTTACGTCCTACAGAAATGTGAATTATTGTATAGAAATCTATATATATATATATTATATTTAAATTATATGTTACATAGGATTCTCCAATAACTAATTAGTAACTTTTACATTAATAGCCCGGTTTTGATTGCGTAGCTACTTAGAGCATAACGAGCAACTATGTAATTAGATGTGTATCTTGACTTCCTTGACGTTGAATTAATTGCTCGGCAAACTGCAAACCAAAATCAATATACATAGAAAATCTCAAGTAAGCGTCCTAAGTTCTACGATAGACTAACAAACTTCTAGTTGCATCGTGATACTTGAACGTGATATTCGTTAGAAACGTAGCAAATATTCGTTAAAAGTGACGAATATACAGAAACGTAGAGTACTATCTGACATAGTTTACGATAGATAATTACTAAATAATTAAACAGATCAAAATTGCAAAACACGATGACCTGTGTTACGAAGATTAAACTTTGTTACAGACGTTTTTGTCGGATAGGGAAGCTCGACGCATAAACTATATACAAAACGTGTATCTTATCCAAGAAAAGTAGAGCTCCATTTATTGGAACGACATTCTGATTAAATTTTTATCCATTCAAACGATTTATTCGAATATGAACTCTTACCAACTAAATTGGAAGTTCCAAATAGCGTTAACTATAAAAATCAGCACTCCTATCACCTATATGAATTATGTCCTTTCAGAGGTACAAATCGGTAAAATTCTACTGCGATACATTTTATTTTATCTTGCAATTATCGTCAGTTCGTTTGTACATTTGCAGATTTAAATGTACCTCGATGTTAACAAAACATCAGATATCGAAATAATGAAGAAAAATCATCGTTTATTCGTCGAAATTTTTATTCCGCAATTGTTTCTCCCGATAATTTGTCTCTTAACGATTGATCTCTCGGTATCGTTATCTGGTCGATTAATTACGCGAGCAAGAACGTCGTATCGTAATAATCGGAGTGCAAATATTCCAGCAAATTAGTATCTTTGCCAGCGCCGTTAACAGAAAACAGAAGCTAAGCAGAAGCTCGTTTTATCGATTAAATATTCCAAGGTTTCGTAATATCGTAGCTACTTTATTTTGTACATTTTACGCATTTTTCCATTTACGAGTAACCTGCGTGTTTTCGCGCTCTTTAATTTCCCACAAATGCACGAAAGATCCGCGGTCTAGTAATAACGTTCGAAATTAACGAAGGGAAACCACGCGTTCTCGAAATGAAACAGTTCCCAGGAGAAGGACGGATAGCACTGGCGAATCGAATGGGAACCTTTTCCCTGGTGTTCGTCTTTTTTTCTATTACAATGCACGACGCACGGGTGCACGATCGCTTTCATTTTCTGTGCACCGTTACACGAGCGTGGAGGACGTGTCGCGACCGCGTGTTTTCGCCTTCTCCCTTTTCGTATACGCCAACTCCCGTTTTCTCTTTCCGCTTTCGTTCTATGCCGAACGGTAAAAGCGGCCGAAAGGTCGGCCAAGTGTACGTTTCGTGGCAATCTTTTCTTTTTCTTTCCCCCCCTCTCTCTCTCTTTTTGTATCCAAATTATGGACAATGTTTAACGACGACCAACAATTCGCCCGGAAGCAACTTTACAAATAAAAATTCAGAAATTACGATTGAAATTTTGGGCAACGCTACGGGAAGATTGTAAATGATCACGTTGAATGTTGGAAGCAATTTTGTTACATGGAAACGTGGAATGTGCGTGGAACAAGTTGGTCGAAGGTTAAACAGACTTTTAACGTCAAATAGCGTTTCAACGAAATGATGTAAATTAAAACTGCCAGCTCTTGACCGTATCGTTGAAATTGGACAACTCTTGATTCAACCTAATTGCGTTGAAACACTCGTTTTGATTTTCTATCGAAGTGCGATCCCCTTAAAACTAGCAGAACTTTTTAATAGAAATATTTTTCTACTAAACACTAGAACAGACAACGAAGAAGTGAATCAGTCAAAGCAATCCAATTATATTTAATATTTTATTTGTAATTCTAAACTTATAATACCGATCCATATCTCCAACTTCGATGAAACTCCGCTTTTAATTTCGTTAATTGTATCTTTTAATCTCTATAAGGATACATGGTCTCGGTTAAAAAAATTTGGCGTGAAAGATTAATCCCATGATTCGCTTTAAAATCAAGAAATGCTTGACGACGCTTTCATTAATCTGATTACTCGTTCTCGCGATACGCCTGTACAAACTATCGAAACAACAATCACGTAATTAAGTATAAAAGAGGACAGTTCGCCTGTGTTGGCTAATGAGATTGAAATCTGTGCGAGAAGGTAAGTGACTTTAAGAAACTAGATCACTTCTTTCTTCTGTCGTCTGTAAGAACGACATCAAGCATCGGTAGTATTGTAAACGATTTGGAAAAGACGATGAATTATTACTCTTATTTTCTCGGCGACTCGCCACGTCTTTGCGTAAACTTGACTCATTGTATGCAGCGATATTATTGCAACAAGGAAAATTGAGATTCCCATTGTCTTATCTACATTAACTTCGCTCGGAACTTGAGAGGAAACGTAACAGCGTGCGACGATGTTCCACGAAGTGAATCAAACAACTATTTATGCGCGTTGTACCTCTCGTTTGACGTAACTTGAAGAAAAAAGAGATAAAGTAACACAGCTTTATTAGCATATTTCATCTCGCGAACTTCTCAAGTTACGCGTATTATTCCATTTCTTTCTACTTATTTCACTGGTCCTTTACTATCTAATTTCATTCATCCCATCGTATTCTATCAAACGTTCTCAATTTAATTTTCATAGTAGTTGCGCGTTACTATTTTTATAATAAACATAAATATATAATAAGATAAACGATCTACGTTTCGATACGAAACATTCTGTTCGCAACAGTTATTACCTGTTTCATCAACACGAGCAGTCGTGTCTAATTAAAAATGTGCTTTCTCGTAAACAAAACGAAATTCCAACTACAAGCCTTGAACACGACGAAATCTATAAAATCCATTTGAGAAATTTCCAGCTAACAAACGGCTTGTTATTTCGTTCGAAAGAGAACGCTATCTTCTTCCAATCTCCACGTTGCCAATCTTCTTAAGTCCTCACCTTTGCCAATCCCCGGCTCATCCAAAGCGATTACGCCGACGTGATTACAGAGAGGACGATTCCAGTCGTCGTCCCGATTTCCTTCGGCCGCGAATCGAATTATCTCGTGGAATTGTGGCACGGTTTCCGGGTGCATAAGCTGCTGGGGATCGATGACTGTAGGCAACTGGACGAGTCACGACGGTTCAGCGTCGACGTGAATCGTTTCTCGCCCTCTGGTTGCGCAATGTTAGGACTGTCGGCGGGAAAAATGTCAATGACAAGACGATCGACGTCGATAACCGACGATGACTAGGCTACGAATGATACGGATTTCTGGAAAATTTAAATACGAAAAGGTGTACAAAACGCATATAACATGTAAAAATATACAAAATACATATTCAAAGCGCTGATTATGGTAACTATATGCTGATGTAAACTCCTATTCAGATTCTATTTGTTTATTCGTGTGTTTTCACGGATAAAGAATCTGAAAAGTTTAGTAAGTTGACATCTCTGAGAATCAATAAGAACTGCTTTAACCATATGATGCGACTGAAGAAGCAAGCCTTTTTCCCGTTTGAATAAACCAACGATCGATCAGACAATAGAACTAATAACGAAATAAATGAACAATCATTTTATTTAGAACAGACATTGCATTAGTTTTCCACTTGGCGCGCACGACCTATTTAAAATTCCAAAATGTTCAACTAAGACTAATTTTCTTTTATCTATGCGAAGCTTCAGAGGAAGAAGTACGAACAATTTTAACGATAAAAAAACGACTGTCTCCTGGATCGTTCGTGTCGAATTCCGAATTTCATTACACCCTGAAAAGACGACACAGCTTAATCAAAAGTTTTCATAAAAACACATCAAACGATGTGAAACCGTGCGAACATCGTCGCTTGAATCGATGAAGCTACGCTATAGAATATCGAAGATGTATGTACATATATCCCGGTCTATAGATCAGACTCGCGGCCAGAAGATTGATAAATAATTGATGGCGGATTGGATGTTGAAGAATTCAAACTGGTCGTTTGTCATGGGTATAGCCGGTCACGAAACAGTTGTACAAAGCGCCATTTGTCGGCCTACATTCCCTACTGCTCTACCTGGCGAATGTTATTATTCCGCCTTTCTTTGTGGAAAATTACCTGGCCGTAGTTTTACACTCGAATATATTTATAAATAATAGCAGTACTCAAGGAAATATTATACCTAGCAGTTTAATTTTAATTCTGATCTTCTAATTAGCACTCTAATTTCATCAAACGTATCCTTATCGTCTTTTCGTTATCTCTTTCTTATCCCTTCTTCTATTTTTTTTTTTTTTTTTTTTT